CTGCGACGGAAGCCGCTGGCCTCGGGAGACACGCCTGCAGCTGCATGGTGAATAACCACAGTCCGACAAACGAGTCGCGTTTTACCGTCACTGGGTTTTGACTTTGAAACGTTTCAAAGCTCTGTCCTGCCTCGCCTTATAAATCAAGCGCACCCATCTCCATGACGGCACGGCGGCGTTTTCTCCCCACGAGCTCCCAGCACGTCTACTCCAGCTACAGCCACAAGTCAAACCAACGTGGCTTCCAATCACCAGCAAAGACCTTCATCGGTTCAATAACTGCCTTTTACTGAATGAAAAAACAAACATGTAATTATAAGCACAATAGTTACACATGGAAGTGTGACCACGCCTCCTTTAGAGGAGGTGCGCTTGATTTCTAACAGCGGGGAACAATGAATGACTGACTGCAGTGAACAGCCTGTAACTCAGACAGCAGAGGGGGGAAGGCTGTTTGAAGAAGCCAAAAATACGGAGGAAGACTGATGCTGAGAGGAAGCAGGAGAGGACACCGTCACAGGCAAAGACACCTGATCTCTGAGAGAGGAAGTGAGGAAATACACTGAACCTTTAGCTCCTCCACAGAGAATCTGATAACCAAACACACTCGGGTGAGTGAGGCATGCAGCTCAGGCTGCTGTGGTCAGGACGCCCACACCAAATCCCACCTCAGTGCTACCTCACAGCAGAGCACTCACTCCAGCAGTTGCTCTGTCCGCTGACACCACGGTGCATGATGCTAGCATCACAGACTCGCACTCAGTCCTCAGTAACTGGAGCTCAGCCTTCTTCCTGGTCTGTTAGTACAGAAACATCACAGCAGCCATGTTATCGGTCACATGATGTCATTAAAAATGCTCCGACAGCACAAACACGGTGCAGAGGTCCGGCTCAGGGACCTGAGACCGAGCAGACAGCTGCAGGTGAGCCTGAGCAGCTCCCACACTAGACTGCTGAAATGTTCACGCACACGTTAGAAGCTGGGTGCAAAAGTCAGAGCGTGAGAGCGCAAACAGAGCGAGCAGCAAGCACGGCGTCGACAAACAGATCTGAACGGGTCACCCGCTCGTTCCACTCGCCCAGCGTCTCAGCCGTTCTCACGTAGCTGGAAACACACACAGGACGGCGTCAGCTCAGCCTGAATCACACTTCAGTATAACCCCTCCTGTCATCCTGCAGCTGTGTCTGAAACAAGCTCCGCCCCGTATAGACCCACTTTCTGCTGATTGGCTGCCCCTCACAAACAGAAGGTTAGACAGCAGTGACTTCTCCTTCCTTCAGAAAAGCTTTGCTGCCATTAAAGTGCAGAGCGCCGCTGCGTCTGAGCGCGTCAGAGATGAAGCGGTCTCTGCAGCTTCCGTTTCATCTGAACGATGCAACGTGAAACCGGATAGGTCAGTCTGCAGCTCGTTACTACCGGCGCCCGCAGGGACTCGCACACACCCTCTCGCATCCTGTGCCAGAAGCTCGTCTATCAGCAGGTGCTCCCTGCACATCCTCAGGATCACACCTCCTCCTCAGCATCAGGAGGTGGGATCCAAACCAGGTGAAGCTGGACTCTATGTGCAGATGTGGCTGTGCCACAAGCCGAGGCCTTCAACTTGTTCAGTTTCTTCTTTGCAAACCAATCAGGATCCACAGACTCGGGCTGAACCTCCAGCCTCGGTGAAGCGAGCCTCCGACTGCTGAACAGTACTCGCGCTTCATCAGCGCGTCTCCTCACCTGTGGGGACCTCCCAGCCCCGGGGTTCAGTCCACACCGTGGCAAACCAGATACAGCTTTGGTGACGGTGGAAGGAAAAACTCCCTTTTAACAGGAAGAAACCTCTGACAGAACCAGCTGAGGAAGCCAAAGCCATCAAACACATGAATTTAGGCTAATTAAACGCGATGCCATCCAGAACAAATCAATGTTTGTATGAGTCCAACCTTCGGTCCTCTTGTTATTCAGAGCTGAAGGCTGTGAGCGATATCTGCTGGGACTGAATGGAGCCTTTATTTAGTCTAAGCTGTGGAGAACATTTGAAACCTACGAAAGCTCTCCGAGGACAGCCTAACCTCCCGGCGCATTCACAGATACGTACGCGTTGGAGGTCTGCACGTCCTGCCAGCTCCTCGTGAGGTTCTGCCTGAGTTCGTTGAGCGGGTTGAGGCCGAGTTTCCTCTTCAGCTCTGCGGCGTGTCTCTCTTTTGCGCACAAAACCTGCCGCAGGGTGTTGATCTCCTCCTCCACCTGAAACACAGTCACAGACTTTCTTAAAACAGGAGCTTTAAGTCCAACTCCACAGAAAGTCACGTTATTTGATGGAGAGACCGTAAACACCACCATCCTTATTCACCCCCACCCCTCAAACTGTTTTCTGGAGGCTTGGAGAAAGCCGCGTACACACAGGAAGGAAGAAAACGAACACACACTGGCAACACAAAGGGGGCGGGGCAAATAAAATTGTTCTCAACTGTAGCGACTACCAGTGAGAGCTCAGGATACTGCTGACTGACTGATGAAGTGGTAGTAAGTACATTAGAAGGTTACCTAGGTAACCAGCACCCGGTCCATTAGCGACCGCCGAGTCCGGGCGTCTGATCTCAATATAAATTTTTTTTTTTTTTTAAAAACCAGGCTCAAGTGGCGATCGTGGCTCAAGAGCTGGCAGTTCATCTTGTAATCACAAGTTTGCCGGTTCCAGCCCCGGCTCGGACAGTCTCGGCCGTTGTGTCCTTGGGCAAGACACTTCACCCGTTGCCTACTGGTGGTGGTCAGAGGGC